TATCACTATGGAAGTAGATTGCCCCATCTTCCTTCCGAGGAGTGGCTGGTGGGTTTGAACCACCAGCCTTCTGGTTAGCAGTCAGATGCCTTAGGCACTATGCTACCAGAGCTCCTAATAGATAAGATATATTCATTGGACTTCTATAAATCACTGAAAGGATAAACCACTAATTTTTTAGTCAAAAAGGGAAGCCATTTACTACATTACTTTACAATATTACTTTTTAAATCCCTATTATAGAGGGAGAAAATTTACTTTTAAATACATAGAAAGGGTTTTAAGAAAGATATTGCGTATTAGATGAAACTAAAATTATTTTTAGTGTTTATCCCAATTTTCCTTCATAATAAGAAGGGAATATTTTAGAAAAACGGAGTTTCAGGTTTTCTCAAGAAGCTGAGTTTTCTTAAATTGCCTTAGATAATTGGGTAAAATACTGAAGAATAAAATGCTATTAACAGCAACCCCATTAATCTTAATGCTGAAAAAGGAAAACAAGTAGAATAAATGCTGAGGTTTCTTAATGTTTTGTTTTTGTTTTTTAACTAGCTATCAAAGTATGGTGTAAATTGGTGGATTGGACTTCAAGAAGAAAGCACCGATGTTGAATTTCGGTATGAACCTAGATTGCTTTGCATTTAATTTTGTTTGACAGGTTTTATTTGCAGAATTATTGGGCTAGACCTTAGTGGCCAATTTCTTGAATAGTCTTCAAGCATTATCTGTAATTTCTAATTTTTAACTTCTCTAACCAAAGACATAAGTGTCCTTTTTAAATTTAATATTATGCCTTCAATCCACACCCCAGAACCCCAAGAATGGCATTGGAGGTTGAACATGCATAACAATAGACCACAAAATTTTTAATTTTCCTACAGCTGGAGAGATGGCACACCATTAATATATCAGAACTGGGACAAAGGAAAAGAAAGAGCTGTGAATAATCAGAGCCTGAGATGTGGCTTCATTTCATCCATAACAGGTCATTTTATTTCTCTCTTTTGGAGGCTTTCAATACAAACTGATAATTTTCAGAAGTCTTGAAGACTTCTTTGTATTAGTTCAGCATGAAGTTTTTTTTATTTGGTTATTTTCCTTTTCAGTTTAATATGTTCACTTTCACCAGTCTTAGGCTTTAGGGTGATCATTCTTTCTATTTAATCCATGCATTCATGTTCTTGACAGTAATTTACATCTGGATAAGTGCTTCCTCATGAACCAAGGTAGCACCAAAAATGGACCCATTGAAACTGTTGAAATATGTGCCTGACAAATCTATTCTCTACAAAATTTCAGTATAGATGCACTTTTTGTTTATCTAGGAGCTCTGGTGGTACAGTGGTTAAACCATTCGGGTGCTAGCCATAAGATTGGCAATTTGAACCCACTAGCTACTCTGCAGGAGAAAGATGGGACAGTCTGCTTCTGTAAAGATTTACAGCCTTGGACATCCTACGGGGCAGTTCTACTCTATTCTACCGGGTGGCTATGAGTCAGAATCAACTTGATAGTAGTGGGTTTTTTGTTTGTCTTTTCCTAGTATCTAGATTATAGTTGGCCAGAATATTAACATCTGTGAAATTTACTTCCATTTTCCCATTTAATAAATGTTTTTATTGAATTCAATATTCTTTTGTTTTGTTTTAATACCTGGGGATAAATGTTGCTTGCCTTAAATCACAACTGTTTACAAGTTGAATTTAGAAGTATATTTATGTTGAGGACAGTTTTTTTTCATTCTGTTTTTCAGGATAGTATTGTTTTGGTTGCATTGTCCATTCATATCCACCTCTCTATTTCTAACTAATAAAAGATAACGATATCCCCAACCCTAATAGATTCATAACTAACCTTGTGCTCTAAGTCAGGGGAGAGATAACCATAGAAAGCGGTCCTTGGTGTGAAGGCTTCTGTAGAGAAGGTTAGAAAGGAAAAGCCATGTGGTTAATCAGCTTGCTTTTGCCAGCAGGTGTCACAACAGCCTACAGAAAGGGCTGATTTGTGAGTCTGGGAGAACAGCTAATCTCCATTGAAAACAACATTCACCCCTCCTTCAAAATGTCAACATTCTTTTGGCTTGTATTCCTGAAACTAGAAATCTCACCCTGTCCTTGGAGTTTGCATGCATCCTTGCCCTGTTCTGGAATGTATAGCTGCAGTGTTAATGAAATGCATTTCACAACCTTTATTCTGAATATAAAGCTCTTCTAAATTAAAAACACTTTCCAGGAGTCTAAGGACGGCAGGATATATTTTACTGAGAAAATATTTGTATGTGTGTCCATATGTGTGTCTATTTTATTTAAGGATCACTGTTGAGATGTGCTCCTTTCATAGACATCCTTGAGCTGATGTTCCTAAATTATCGTATTTTTGAAAGAACTATAAAGTGAAAACGATCATCTATTGTTTTAGAATCTTTTAGCTCTTTACATTGAAGCTGCATATTTTAAAACAAAGTATTCTTTTGCTACTCAATTCGAATATTCTTCAGACTTTCATCAGTTCTATGATTTCAGCTGCAGTATTTGTTTAATTCGATTTTTATGGGATTTGCAAAATTTCTGCATTCTTGAATTAGAATTAGTGGTTTGTCATGTTGTCCAGTTAGCTGTTGTTACTAGAGAGCTGTATGATCTGTACTTAAATTTCGTTCAATTTCATTGTTGTGTGCCATCGAGTCCATTCCAATGCATAGTGATCCTCTTTGACTGAGTAGAAATGCCCATAGGGTTTCCTAGGATGTAATCTTCACAGGAGCAGATCACCAGGTCTTTTCTCCCGTGAAGCAGCTGGTGGTTAGCGGACAAGCGTTTAACCATTTGTGTCACCAGGGCTCCTTAGTTCAGTTTATAGAGGTTAAAAAAATTATGACAAAGTTTAGGAATATAAACATAGCGATCAATAGAGACTGTTTACAATGAGTGACCGTCGTTCCCATGCTGTTTCTAAACTATTTTCTCCTCCAGGACTCTGGGGTAGTGAAGAGTGTTCTGTTTCTATGCCTAGTATTTGTAAGCGAAAAAAGTTTTGGGTCATCGAAAAAGAGAAAGATACACCAAAACAACATGGAACATGTCCCAAAGGCTGGCTATATTTTAACTATAAGGTAAATTTGTTTTCAAAAAGTTGCCTTTATTCATCTGTAAAATGAAGGGAGATGGGGCTAAGGATACAAACTTCATATAGCTGTTATGAGGGTTTATTTATCCAGTCAACATGTATTTACTGGATACCTAATCTTTGCCTAAGGAGCTCTCATGGTGCAGTGCCTAAGGCATTTGACTGCTAACTAGAAGGTTGGTGGTTCAAACCCAAAAGCTGCTTGGCAAAGGAAGATGGGGCAGTCTACTTCCATAAAGATTTACCACCTCGGAAACCTAATGGGGGTCACTCTGAGTTGGAATTGACTCTATGGCAGTGAATTTGGGTTTTATTTTTTTTTTCCAATAATCTTTGCCAGGTGATATTCTTTGTTCTAGGGAGGCGGATATAGACAATAAGCAAATAACAAGGGGGGGGGGAAGATACATGTAACATGTAAAAAAAGAAAAAGAAAGTTCTCTTTTGCAGATGCTAATTTGGAAAGAAATTTTTTAAAATGGAAGTGGCTTTTAAAAATAGTGAGTTGTCAATATTTTTTGCCACACCTTTCAAGAAATTTGAGAAGTTTTCAATTGGGAACAAAACTCTTGGAATAAAAAGTTTTGTCAGAAATAGGCTTGACACCATGCCTTAGCTTTTATGTACCCAGTTTTTACTACTGGCACAGCCAACCATTCATTACGTTGTATAAAGTTTTCATTTGATGGTGTGTGTATATGTAAGTGTCTAGGCCTAGGCCCTGTCCCAAATAAGCTGTAGCTGTAACCTCCTCCATGGAACCCTGACTCCATCTTCTCTTTTGTGTCTTCCTTGCCTGGAGCCAGCTTGGAGCTCTGTCCTTGGTATAAATTGACCAACTGATAACTTAGCTCATTCAATGTTCTCTTAAGCCATGTACTATCTCCATCTGATATATGAGAAGACTGAGGCAAAAAATAATTGTGTGACTTTTCTGAAGCTTCGCAGGGAAAAAGTGGCAGGCTGGAATCAAACACAGGTTTTCTGATCCTGAATCTGGTGATCTGGTCTCTTTCCTATAGTTGCTACTTCCTATAAGAACTTAAGAAGTGCCATATCAGCTCATCTCTAGGATACAATCAGCCCAGTGGCACTGGGAGACATTTTCTAGAAAAATATAATTGTTCTCTAAAACTTTAATAGAGTGTTCATATACAATAGTTTTTAATAGATGATACTTTCTCTATGCTTCCTATTTTCTCACACTGAAAGATCTTTCCACTAGTTGTAAATTATTTGTACATTTCAATAGAAGAAACTTGTAGCTAATATCATTCAGTAATACACTGAAGATTATGAAATCTTTCAATAATATTTTATTGTGTTTTAGGTGAAAATTTACACAGCAAATTAGGTTCCACTTAAACAAATTTTATATACATTGTTCCATTCCATTGGTTACAATTTTTACAATGTGTGAGCATTCTCTTTATTTCCATTGTTTGTTCTGTTTCTATTGATCTAGCTTCCTTGCCTTCTTACCCTTAATTTTGGATAAATGTTGACAGTTATGACTCATATAGTTAATTGTTTAAGGTAGCACATTACTCAAGGGTGATACTGTTTGTTTTGTAAGCCAATTTATTATTTGGCTGAAAAGTGACCCGCAGAAATAACTTCAATTCCAAGTTCGAAGTGTATCTTAGTGGAGCAGTCTTGGGGCTTCCTTTAGTCTCTGTTGGTCCAGTAGGTCTGGGCTTTTTCAGGAATTTGAATTTTTTCTCCCACTCTATCTAGGACCTTCTATTGTGTCCCTGGTAAGAATGGTCAGTAGTGGTAGCTGGGCACCATCTACTTCTGGTCTCAGATTTGAAGAGATTTTGTTTGGTACAGGCTATTAGTCCTACGGACTACTTTCTTCTTGGGGTTTTGATTTCTTTCATTCTCTTTTGCTCCATACAAATAGAAATCAATAGCTATATTTAGATGGCCACTCACAAGCTTTTAAAAACCCAGATGCTACTCACCAAACTCAGATATAGAACATTATCTTTGTGATCTGTGTTATGTCAATTGACTAAGTTATACCCTGAGACTTTATATATAGTCTCAAGCATTTTGACCCAGTTAACCAATCCTGTGAGTTGTTTGGATATGTCTAGGAAGCCTCTGTAATTGTGCCCCCTATGTGGATTGTTATATTTGTTGTTGTTGTTATACGCCGTTGAGTTGGACCCGACCCATAACAACCCCTCCTTGGGTTTCCGAGGCGATATCACTACGGAAGTAGATTGCCCAACCTTCCTTCCAAGGAGTGGCTGGTGGGTTTGAACTACCAGCCTTCTAGTTAGCAGTCAAGTGCCTTAGGCACTACACTACCAGAGCTCCTGGATTGTTATATATGTGGATATAAATGCAGCACACACATGTGTGACACATGACTACAAATAACACCTATGCATGTCCATGCCTTCCTGTACGCATAGATGCATCCATATCTACCTACATAACCACACATCTATTTTTTGGTTGTTTTTCCTCTTATTGCAAAATAGTATATATTAAAGCATTTAACAAAATTGTCCCTTTTTCTTGTGTACTTCTTAGTATCTTTATTTACCTTGGTCAGATTGTGCTGACTTCACCCATATTTGCGATTGCCTTTTCTGTCACCAATAGTAACAAGTGTCTACTATCTAGAAAGTGATTCCTCCTCCCTCTCCTTTCCATCCCTGGTATCAATCAAAGGATTTTGTGTTCTGTGTGTATATCTATTCTTGAATTTTTATAATAGTGGGACCCTACAATATTTTTCTTTTTGTGATTTACTTATTTCACTTAGCATAATGTCTTCCAAATTCATCCATATTATCCACAGACTTCTCATTATTCTTTATAGTTGCATAGAAAACAAACTCACTGCCACTGAGTCAATTTGGCTCATAGTGACCCCTCCTTGGGTTTCTGAGGTAGTATCTCTATGAAGGTAGGTTGCCTAATCTACCTTCAGAGGAGTGGCTGGTGAGTTTCAACCACTAGCATTCTGATTAGCAGTCAAATGCCTTAGGCACTATGCCACCACATTATATGTATGTACTGCAATTTGTTTATCCATTCATACATTGATAGGCATTTAGGTTGTCCCCATCTTTTTATTGTTGTGAATAATGCTGCAATGAACATAGATGTGGGATTATTAAATATTTTATTAAAACCTTTGTCAATTAGTTTTTCATAGCTGTTAGAACAAGTGCATCCTGAAACAGTGTAGCGAACAGGCACACTATTTATCTCAAAGTCACATTTCTGTTACAGACAGAGAACAGCCCAACAGCATGAGCACAACTGATCCAGTCAATAACTAACACTTTCTCCATTTATAGAAGAGAATATTATAAGGAGATTAATGGCAAGTCAAATCCTTGACATTAGAAGAATAATTCTTTGGAACCCACAATAGTTGTTTTTGGCTCAGTTCTTGATTATTATCCTTCCAAAACTTTTTTTTTTTTTAATCCAGCAGCTTAGCTCCAACCCACATTTCTTCCTGTGTGAATAAAGGCAGTATGTATACACATAAGTAGGTTAAAGTGATATGAGGCACAGTGGAGCAAATCCAAGGCAGAAGACCAAGCAAATGCTTTCTTTGAAAAGAATAGAAAGGATACCATCTTGCTCCAGCACTAGCAGCAAACTTCAACAAGACAGAAAATAACAAATGCTGGCGAGGATGTAGAGAGATTGGGACTCTCATACACTGCTGGTGGGACTGTTAAATGGTACAACCACTGTGGAAATCAGTATGGCGATTCCTTACAAAGTTGGAAATAGAAATATCATTTGAACCTGCCATTCCATTACTAGGTATATATCCTAAAGAAGTGAGAGCCATGTCAAGAACAGACATATGCACACCCATGTTCATCACAGCACTATTTATAATAGCCAAAAGATGGAAACAACCTAGGTGTCTATCAACTGAGGAATGGATAACCAAACTATGGTACATACAC